GAGAGTGCTTTCTCTGGAGTTCACACAGCAAAGCCACAGTTATTTTAACTATTTTTTTTGTTTGCTTTTAAAGTTTTTAACTAGCCCATGTATTGGCAGAGTCAGAAAATACCACCACCACCACAAGGAAAAAGTTCTCACTATTTGGAAGTTTCTCCTCAGGAAATCCTCATGGCTGTCTGTTCCTGTCAAGCAGGTAACATTTGTAAACTTTGTTCAACAGAAAATTTGTGGTAACCATCAGAAATTGACAGAACTGGACTGCAAGACAAGTGACGGCAGGTCATTTTCAATAACATTCAGGCAGCATCAGGAAAGAAACTAAGGCAGGAAAAGTCTGTGCCACTCCCAGATCCTAAAGCAGGAGATGCAATACATAAAAATATTTTCCCCTAAAAAGCTTGCACCCATACAAACCTGATACTTGAACTTCAGAGTAGTTTATATATAAATACTACAAGGGGAGAAAAACAGTCATGGTCTGCATAAATCAGAGTTTGTTAAATGTCAGCTATTGTGTTACTAATACAGTATAAGGAAAGGTTGCCCTGTATAAAAATTATTGTTAGACAGGGCAGCTCTCAGACAGAGGGGGCAATTGAAATATACCCACTAAGGAATGCGTCACATGATAATTCTGCATTTCATACCAGCACTTTTGAAGACAACTAAATACACAAGACTAGCAGTATTCAATAGTCATTACAACTTGGTAGGGATATGAATGCTGAAGTCCATCCTTAGCATACAAAATATTAAAAATAAAAATCACAACTGTCAATTGCTGTTCTAAGGAGAATCTGCCCTCCATCTTGGCAACATTCATCATACCTACTAACTGTAAGTGAATCCAACTGCCTCAGGTTCATTTATTCTGAAAACAGTACAAAACGTATGTGCCTCTGTCAAGAGGGACATACCCAAATGCCCTAAAAATGTAGACTATAGTGGAGATCACACTGCTGTTAGCAATGACCAACCTCATAAGTCAACTTGTTCTGAACACCTAGGCGTTTCACTGAAGTGGAAGTTGAACTCCCTTTTGTCAAGGTTCCCATATTGTACAGCCAACTGAACCTAAAATCTGAGAGAAACGTGGTGGGTGAGGTAGTATGTTTTATTGGATCAACTTCTGTTGTTGAAAGACAGACTTTTGAGCTTATACAGTGATCTTTTTCAGGACTAAAGAAGAGCTCTGTGTAAGCTCGAAAGCTTGTTTCTTTCAGCCACAGAAGTTGGTCCAATAAAAGATATTACCTCACTCACCTTGTTTCTCTCACATCCTGGTACCAAGATGGCTACTACCACTCTAAAATCTGTGGCACTCTTGTGGTAGATTAAAAAAAAAAAAGGAAGGAAATTTTGGCAAATAAGGTTTTTGTTGAATGAAAGTTAAAATAATCAGTAGTGGCTCTTGTTTTTTATATTAAACTCAATTTGTTCTACCGTATCCCCACTATTAGTTGTCAATATAAGCTAAAGAATTTTGTACCAACCACTCACAACTACACTGTAGAAGTCATCAAGGAAGAAGACCACGGTTTTGGCTACTATGTGTGGTGCATTTGGCACCAAGGGAGTTCATAGGAGGCAGTTTCCTTGTAATCAAAACTAGATGATCATTGTAATAAGACTAGATGATCATAATGGTCCTTTCTGGACTTAAAAATCTAGGAGTTACTTCTCACTAGAGCTCAACCCCACCCCAGGAGCCCCATAAGGGACACACATTAATATAAGCAATTCACTATCATTGGATAAAAAGAATGACACATTTGATAACCCAGAAATAGATTCCCATGCCTCCCTAGAGATAACATGAGACATGAAAACTAATCACACCTCCACTCTGTCACCTACTCTTACTCCTTTCACATCCTCATTTGGTTAACACACTCCTTCTCTCAGTGAACCCCCTCTATCACATCCTTAACACTCAAAGTAATTTCTTCTTCTACCCTGAGAAAGTACCTTTACTACAATTTTTCCTTGCACCCCAGCCCCAGGAGCTCATCTTCATTCTGAACTCACACACCTCCTGACTATGAAGTGGCAACCCTTCCCCATCACTACTACAGCCCTCATCTCCACTGCCCCAGCTCCTTCCTAAAATCTAATTCCTCCACTTTGACCACACAACCTACTGCCAATGGTCTAATCCCTTTTCCACACATCAATGTTCCCCCAGGATCTACTCCTCCCATTTTTATTATATAACCTCTACCTTATGTTTCATCCCAACCAAAATGTATTTCTCTGGTTTCTCCACGAAATACTTCCCCTCCACATCAGCAATTTCACCACCCTTTCTCCATCCAGGACCTAGTTTCCTTCAGTTTACTACATCTAATCCTGGCCGTACTAGATCACCTGGTTCTCCACTGATGTCAAATTCCCCCCTCTTTTTACCACAGCCATTGCCAGGACACATTCCCACCCCCACTGCAGATTCACCCCCTTGTTTTGGAATTCTCTTTATAACCTCCCTCAAATCATTTTTAGGATTAATACCATCCCAGCACAAACCACCCACTCCATTATGGGATTATACTTGAAAGAAAGTGATTCCTCTTCAGAGGACACATCCTACTTAGAAAAACACAGAAGTTTATACTATCAGCACCCCAAGAGCTTTGCACCTCCCCATGCCAAGATTTTGGAGGATGTAGTTTCCACTAATATGTAGAAAATATCAAAACCTATATCCACCCCAAACATACTCTACTTATCTCCCCACCTCTGAGCTGCAAGGGAACGGACCCCCCCTGACCTCCACCCCTCAACGGGCTACATACCCACCTCAGAGCTGGGAAGAAATCCACCCTCACCCCTTAGGCAATACATTCCTCTCTGCTACAGGTGTGAGAAGAGGTTGACACCTAACTGTCCAAGGAGCAGGTAGGCCCTCCATCACCACAGGGGGATGTAAACCCACCCTCCTCACAGATCCATCTACCCCCAAGATAACTATGAAATGAAGTTTGCCTCTCTGTTAGATGAGTCTCTCTCAACAGAAGAGGGATATATATACAGGACAGATGTTTGATACCTACCTATTACAGATGTCCATGGTCTGAGCGAGTGGAGCAAAACACGCAACCCATGGGCAAATCTTGCCTGCCTCAGGTATTACATGGCCCCATGAATATCTGATTCTGCATATTTAAAGTGTTTTTTTTTTTTTTTTTTTAAAAGAGTATATTTCTAGCACCTATGTCTACAAAGACAGTCTTCTAAACATGAACTGAGGGCTTGTCTACACTTGAAATGCTATAGCAGCACAGCTGCAGCTGAGTCACTGTAGTGCTTCAGTGTAGACACTACCTACGGTGAAGGGAGGGGTTCCCCTGTTGGCGCAAGTAATCCACCTCCCTGGGAAGTGAGAGCTAGGCTGAGAGAAGAGTTCTTCCATCCACCTAGAACTATGTACACCAGGGTTTGGTCATCTTAACTATGCCACTCAGGGGTGTGAATTTTTCACACCATTGAGCAATGTAGCTGGGTCGATATAATTTTTTAGTCTAGGCCAGGCCTGAGTATAAACACCTGGAAAGCTGATGCGTTGTCTCCAGGTGTCTGCAAGTAGCCTGAAACAGCAACTCTAGGAGAGGTGTGAACTGTCCCCCAGTCATCTCAATGGGATGTTGACTCTTAAGCCTGATTATGACACTTTATGGGCCGCTTTTTCCAAATAATTTAGGTAGTGCTGTGAACCAAACTTGCACAGTTACCATATTTATGTGAACAAATCTGGTAACTACATGTGAAACGAGCATAACAAAAGAGAACAGGAGTAGTGTGGTCCTAGCAGTGCCCTCCACCACTTACTCCCCACTAAATGATGCGGATTACAACAGTAACTTTCTTGCGCTCCTCAAACCTGCATCATGTTCTAACAGTGCAAAGCCCTGCATCATTGCGGAGTTCCACTGCAGTCAATGGGACTCCACATGGGCACAGAGGACTGCACTACTGGACCTTGAAACAAGATTGGGGCCTAAAAGTTTAGCTAACATATAAGAAGCATACTCCATCCTCAGTCTTTGTATAAATCTCCCATTGTTTCCAATGAAAGACTGGCTAGAAAAATGTATGTGGCCTAAACATTCTTACCCAATTGGTCCTCTTAAAAAAAAAAAATCACATGCTTGAGCAATAGTGATATAACTTGCTAGTCCAATACAAGTATTTTGAACCAATTTTCAGCTGGGGTGAGAAGAGCAGTGATAAGTGGAGCTTTCCTCAGGACATAAACCCCTGCCATCCACAGAGCTGTGAAAAGACTGGCCAACCACAGCTTCAGGGGCAAGAGCGCCCTCCCAGTGAAGCTAAAAGAAGAAACATCCTATTTCACATGGGGAGAGGATATACTCCCCTGATAGCATTAGACAGAGATGGACCTTTCCTCTTCCCGCCCCTCATCGTGGTGGGGCAGGATAGATCCTCTCAGTCAGGGGAACAGTCACCCCCTCCCCCCCGAAGTGATAAGGGGAGTGGGGAAGATACTATCTCTCCCGGGGGTATATATCTTGCCAGCAGAGCTGGGATGGGAAGGGGCTCCTCTTCTCCAGGAGAATATAGACCCCCCCCCCACCCACTTCCACCCCGCAGAGACCCGAGAGGGGCTGGGACCCTCCCTACTCCTTCCCCCCAGACAGAAGGAAGAAGGGGCCCACCCCCGCCCATCAGGCAGAGCTGGGAAGGGGCTGGGCCCCTCTCCCCGGCACCCCCCCACCCCTATCCCCTAGCGGGGCCGGGCAGGGGGTAGGCCCCTCCGCTGCAGAGTTACACCCCGAGGCCGGGAAGGAGGATGAGCCTCCCCTCAGGGCACCCCCCTGCCAGGCCCCTCCTCTCCAGGGGCGCCCCCTCCCCTCTCAGGGCTCGGGGGGGGACACCCCTCCGCCGTGGCCCCCATTCCCCGTCCCCTCCCTGCCTCGGGGGTGGTCCCCGCCCCGCCGGGCCCCGGGAGGAGGGGTCGGGTCCGCCCCGCCCGCCGGTACCTGAAGCGACCGCCGCGCTGGCCTCCCGCCCCACCGGCCTCACACAGACAATATGGCGGAGGCACAAGGCTCGGCAGCCAGCCGCAGGGACCAGAGCGAGGCTGGCCGGAATCGGAAACCCGGCCTCTCCCCTCGCTCGCTACGTGCTGCGGCGGCAGCGGAAGCTGGGAACGCGGGGCGGGGCTTGGCGAGACAGCGGGGGGGGAAGCCGAGCGCACGCGAGGAAGGCACGCATGCGCCGTATGAGACACTACGGCACTGCCTCCTGGGAATTGTAGTTCTCTTTCCTTCACGGGCGCCCCTCAAGAGCTGGGGCTTAGAGAGGGCTCAGCTCCCCTATTTAGCCAGACTATGGTGTCACGACTACAAGCCACTGAAGTGCCAATATATGGCATGGGCATCCTGGCAGGGCAATGGCGGCAAAGCATTCAGCGTCGATGATGTCATTCTGACACATGAACTCGCTGCGTCAGAAAGTGATGGCGTCAGATCAGAATATGATGTCGACACAACAGGCTGATGACGTCATATCAAAATATGACGTCAGCGCCACAACGCATGATGATGTCATGTCAAGCCCACCACAAAGTGACAATTGCCGCTTCGGAATGTTCCGATGGCACATGCGAAAGTTCCAGAGTCACATGCAATGTCTCTTTGAAACCACTTTGTAAGTTGGAGGTGCTGTACTGAAGCAAGGTGGTGCAGCGCTGAAAGGGGATGTTGAATGGAATGTTGCGTTGTCATGAAAAACATCATGTCACACGGATCGTTTCTGCAGCCCAAGTGTTCTGTCAGGATGTGTCAGTGGTGAGCAAGCTAGAAACACAGAACTTGCCCTATAAAACGTGACAGTCTGGTTGACAATACTGTTTATAATTTTCTGTTCTTCAAAACTACTTTTGGCTCCGGTCCTGCAAAGACTTATGCATGTGCTTACTTTTATGCACGGTGATCAGGCTCCTAAAACTGCAGGTGCATAAAATAAGTCCTTGCAGGATCAGGGCCTTTCCTAGTACATTTTTGTATCATCATCTTTTGCAAAGTGTGTGGTGGGGAGGGGAGAGGTGTTTTTTGTCTCTGTTCCAACTGTAAAAAAATGCAAGTGTAAAACCTAATGATGTCAGTCACCATGTTTTGATTTTATTCCCCTCCCCCCCCCACACACACATGCACATTTGGATAACCTCAAAAAGCAGCTTGGATTTAAACTTTCCAATATGGCCTGGTCCTAGGACTGTAGGAGGAGAGTGTCTTCTTAAGATAGTCTTTTGTCCCAGTGCCGGAAGCTAATTCCCACCCAAGTTCCATCATGATATTGATCATTGTTTTAAAGGCTTTTTTTCAATTGTTTCAGATTTTTAGGTATTTATTTGTAAATTGCAAACAAGCTTTGTCTAATTTGTCACTCTTCCTGGATTTCCAGGGCTATTCACAGCGTAATTAACAGTCTCAGCAGCCAAGACTCAGAGGTAGACTTGTATATTCCACACTGGTTGATGAAACCCTTGAAAGGAATTAGGGATCTGTTTCAATGATTGTCCATCTCTTGCCCAAATACGCGACTGCTGCTGTAAAATAGGAGACAGCCTTTAAGTCTCATGAGATCTGCCCAGTCATTCCCTCAGTCTCTGCCCTTGTTGGAAGAACAGGGCTCTGTGTAGAAATGGGGTGAGGCATTCCGTAGGCTATGGGAAGCACAGATGGTTCTTTAAAAGTTTCTTTTTAAAACGGCACATCATCTCATGGGGCCATGGCCATGAGAGAGCAAAATATTCTGTTCATGGAGTCTGCCACCAGGTGGCAAGTTTGAGCTACAGTTCAGAAGCTGTCACGAATCCAAGCTGTACATTCTTCCCAAATATTTTTTCTCTGGATGGATGTTCAGAGAGCGGTCAGGTCTCTGCAGATGCTTTCATTGCAGCAGGGGGACACTCCCAAACATTTGGGGAAAATACATGGCCCAGCGGAGTCAGTACATACCTGCCTTTCACCTCAAAGGGGGAACTGAGATTTAAAGTGAATATTCCTATAAACACACAAGCCCATGCATAATTTGCTGATGTGAGCAGACCCATTGAAGTCAAACATGGTTTTTTGTTTGCAGGATCAGGGCCTGAATCTCCTCTCCTCATTGCAAAAACTATCACAGAGCTGGCATTCTCTGCTCAGCAGGGATCCACTATGGACGTAGCAGAAGGGCTGAAGGTCAAGATAAAGGTACATTGACTTAGACTGGGGATGGGGGCGGACCTGAAGAGTAGAGGTGCTGTGGGCCTGTTTGATGTAGATTGGCAGAGGAGTGAGGAGAGCAGAACTGGAATAGTGGAACTCTTGTCGGCCAGGATTGAGAGATACTGGCGCTGGGTGGAGGCCGTGACAGTTCTCGGGGTATCCTGGACTGTGAGTAGGCTTGCCCGTGGTGACTGGGTATCTGCTCCCTATACCCCCAGCCTGTTAGCCACTCAAGCACTCTCCTCTGGGAAATGCAAGTTAACAAGCGGTGCAGCCCAATCCCCAAGTCCCTTTCTTCTGTGATATCCAGCCCCTGACACCGATTACTCAGAGAAAGCCCAGATCCTCTGCCCCGCAAGGAGCAGTGTACCCCAGTTACTAGTTTTACCTTAGATCACAGCTCCTATATAATGCCCAGCACTTGTGAGCACTCATAATAAAACAAAAGTAGGTTTATTTAAGAAGGAATAGAGCTTCATCTAGAAACAAGAGAGACTGGTGGAAACAAATGGTTACAATACAAAAAAAAACCCATAGAATGCGAACTAGGGCCTACACTTATGAATAGTTACCTTTCCTAGCTAATAAAGTAGACTGCAGAGCTGGCTGGTGTAATAGGAACCAGGAACTAAACTTTGATTAAAACACCCCCATTATACAAGATGTTTCTTCAGTGAATGCATCCAGGGTGCCTGTCTCCACTCAGGGTTACACTGAAAAAGTCTTGTCTCTGTTCATAGACAGGGTGAGCTCTCTAATCTGTTGTAATGTTCCCTTTTTATCTCCAACTGGTTTCGACTGTTTGCAGCTGTCCCTGATGGTTTTCCATTGATAGTCTTGGGACTGAGCAAGGCTGGACAACCGAGCCTTGCATGACATCACCAGCTAAACTGGGAGGGGTGACAACTCCCTCCTGCTTGAATGGACCATCACTGAGATATGATAGCCCCTGGTGACTAACGTTAATTATAACCAACTATAAAGCAGACTTTCCATATACTTACATTGTCCTTAAATATCACCTGTACACACACCTCACAATGATTCTGAGTCTTGACAAGTTATGAACTTTCAGTAGATACCTTACATGTTACTCTTGATGGATAAATGCCCTGCAAGAAGTGTGTTTGGTTTAGTGAGTTTGTCAGGTCTGAGACCAGAGTTGCTTGCAAAGAACTGGGGACCCTTTGCCAAGGTGCCAGTGTGTCCCAGGGGCCCAGGGCTGGAGTAAGACTGGTGGATTGACTGAGCTGTGTATGGTATGCTTGTAAAGTGCCTGGCCACATTGGGTACAGACGCTCCCTGGGTTACGCAAACCCGACTTACGCAAACCCGCACTTACGGAAAAAGTTCCGTAAGTTCCGTAAGTTTGGTTTGTGTGTGTGTGTGTGTGTGTAATTGTCGGTTATACGTCCCTGACTTACACAAAATTTGACTTACGCAAGGCATTCCGAAATGGAATGCTTGCGTAAGTCGGGGAGCGTCTGTATATCTAGACTGCACACTAAGCCTTAGTCTGTGGAAACCGGTGTTTCCAAGCCCATGTTGAGCATCCACACTGCATTGTAAACCTGGGTTTATAGCTGCTGGGCCAAGGTCTCACAGCCAGGCTAACTCATCCATACTGCACTACCCTGACCTTCTGACTTGGGTCTGCTGCTTGACCTGTGTCCACTCTGCAAAATGACAGGGCTTGGACCCGAGTCTTAGCAGGACTCAAGCTCTGACCCACTCCCTAGAAGGGTCCTAGGACCAGGGTCCTGAAGCCTTGCTGACCTGAGTCGGACTGATTTGTGTGCAAACAGAAGCGGCCCTTGGACACAAACCCGAGTCAGAGCCTGGGCTTAGGGTGTAGTGTAGACACACCCACTGGGTCTGGCTGCATCCATCGTGACCAGTGCTGCTCAGGAGGCGCCTAGAATAGGGCTTGTGGGGCTGAGCTGCAGAGGCAGAGCTGGGTGGGCTTTCACAGAGCCCACCTGCTGCCTCCACCCCTTGCAATCAGCCGCCAGTTTGCAGGACCAAGTTCACGGGTGGCAGCATTGAAGGAGAAGAAGGAAAAGCTGTGGCGGACTCTGCAGCTGCTCCCATTGTTCTCTTTTCTCACAAGCTGTAGTTTCCAGACGTGTCTTGTGTGAAAGGACGAGGTGGCAAGGACGTGAGCTCTGGCCTTCCCCTGTGGGTGCAGTGCTGCTGCCTCTCAAGGAAAGCCCCTTGATACCTTGTTTCACTCTGTTCCCATTCCCACCGAGCCCCCTCCTGGAGCCTGGGCCAACCTTCACTGCTCTGCCTCTAAAGCTAAAGCACCATGGGAACGCTGCAAAAGTGCGGGTTTCCTGGAGTGCTTCGGGTTCATGAGGGACATATAAGGGCCATGAATTCAGGGAACTGGCTCCAGCAGGGGATCTGCCCTTTGGCAGAAGCAGTATTGGGACACTGTGGGGGTGGGGGAAATGCAATCGAGAAGCCAGGGAATTATGTGGACAAGGACCACGGGCTCCATCCTGGACGGGTCAGAAATCTTGGGTTTTATGCAGTGCTTAATTTGTAATGAAAGAGGGGCCAGGGCTCAAGCTATTTTTTTACATTCAGAACTGATGCAGCAAGTCCAGAGGTGCCGGGCTCTGAACTGCCAGGCCCAGAGGTGCTGGGCTATGAACTGCCAA